GAAGTAGGTCTTATGATAATGATTATTTGCTGCAGGCGAGCATGGTTGTTTCAGGTCCCACACACGGTGTATAGAAAAAAAAGCGAGCAAAATGTGTTTGGTACCCTGTTTTAATAAAACTCACGATACTGTTGGTGTTGTCATGAAAAAAAAATCACGATGGCTCTCATAGGGGGGGTTGCAACCCCCAAAACCCACCCCTAGATCTGCCACTGGGGATTGAATTCAAGAGGTTGGTGAAAGGAGAGTGATCTCACTTCACACACAATGAAATGGTTGGAGGTTACAAAGCAAACTACAAAGGACACAGCATTATGACAATCATATACTTTATGACTATATGACAGTACGTCAATCATCAATTCATTGATCTGACTGTTTACTGATCATTGGTCAAGACCCCACCAATCAAAGGATAGTGCTGGGCTAAGAATAATGGCTGTTCAGTAGCTGGTCATGACAACTTCACCAGCTGATGACCATCTAAATTAGTTTTAGCTTGGTGAAGTATCTTGTTTCAGGCTTACTGGGGTTTTCCATATTCTGCGAACTCAGACATTCCAACAGCTTGTTGTGAAATTGGTTTTTCACTGCCTCCAGTCAAGAAAATAAAAAGTACTGACTGATTATTTTTGAATAATGGCAGCAATAAACCAAATTTATGAATGCAACTCTTAATTACCGAGTTCGCAGAATATCAAAAACCGCAGTTACATAACTGGTCAAAACGACCAGCAAGTCAAAGTTCAACCTACTGTAACACGCTGAAATTTTGGACAGACATTGTCTGATGACCAGCCATTATTCATGGCCCTGATGTGATAAACTATTTTAAAATCGACACAAAAGCATTATCTTTAGTTAACTTGTACTTACAGCAACAGCCATTTTGCCAAGAATATGTTCAGGTATTGGGCCTTGCAGTCTCTTGATCAACTTGTCTAAACATGTTGTCATTAGCTCCATACAGATAAAGACATCCGACTGTGTTAAAAAAAGGAAATTCTTGATTAGAGTGATTTGTTGTACACCTACGTACAGTATTTATTATTTATTTATTTATCTGTTTAACGTCTGACTCGATCGCATTCATGGAACTGCAATCTCATATTAACCAGAGCATGAATGCAGATAAATAACTTTCGCATTTACACTGTTAAATTGCAGCGCAATTGCCCTTGAGGTATGGCGATTCAAAGGCAAACATGATCACAGCCATGTTGCATGACGGAGTTGCGTGCAGTACTGTAGCAACGGTAACTAAGGGGAGTCGGAACCACGAATTAACAAAGTTTTTTATAGCTAATTAATGCGTTTGTGCAGCAGCCACTATGCGCATGTCTCCAAACCTAATGAATCTACAATGGAATGTTTTCGGAACAAATGATCAGAGACAATTTTCGACTTGTATTTTTTATAATTGCAAAAGAGTGTCATAGCAACTTTCTGCAGATTGCATTAAATAATTAAATTTAAATACCCAAGAGTATATTGCATGCAGGTACTGTATTTATTTTGCCATTAAATTTGCAGTTTAATATTTTTATAAAGCACATGAGAGCATCTCCCTATGAAGCATGTGTAATTTTAGTATTACTTCTGTTTTCTATATTCTGTGAACTCGGGGACTGAACTCGGACATTTCAACGGCTTTTTGTGAAGACGGTTTTTTACTGCCGCCAGTCAACAACATAATACCATGGTAAGTACCGACTGATTATTTTTGATTGACGGCAGTGAAAAACAAAATTTCAGCATGCAGCTGGCAATTCAGAACTATTGAGTTTGCAGGATATGGAAAACTGCAGTAAATTATTATTTTATTATTGATAATACAAAATTCATATCACAGCTTACCCGAGATATATAACAGCCAATACAATTAACAATATATGGACAATCATGGCTTTTCATTACGACTTCAAGGTCCATTAGAACCCTTTTTTGTTCTTCTTTGTTGTGGCTTCGTGCCATTTTCTGAAAAAAGTACATAAATCAGACAGAAAATCTAATGAATATTTGAATTTACTGTAAATGCACAATAATTAATTTGAGTGTCTTTTCAAGAGAAAACAAAAAGCCTTGTGCCCTGCTTTGTTTCACTGCTATGGACCCTAGGAATGACAGCTTCATACAGCAAACATGGTGTATTGTGGTCTATCTTGAGTACAAACATCATTTGATCATCATGTCTTATAATATGGTCTTGTTTGCATCAGGGCTAGACTCCAATACATCCTGATTATTAAACTCCGAAAAGGCCTATGCCCGGGGGGGTACTCCCATATATGGACTATACGGGGATGATCCACTGAACAGGGTATGGTTGTTCGAGCTTCTTGTCATAAACAGGGTATGCAATTTCACTCAAGTTCCAATTTTTTTCCTGAGTTTCCTGTCATATTCAGGGTTTCTACTTTCGTATTGACCGAAACTGGTTATTATGGTCGTAAAAAACGATACGCGAGATGACATGATAATTGAAACAGGACCTCTGTGCAATGAATTATATCTTTTGTCATAAACAGGGTCTACAAATTTGAGTTTTTTTGTCATAAACAGGGTACCCCTTTCAGAATCCCATCGGAACACCCCTACCCAAATCCTGGCAGAGTACCCCCCCCCCCTGGGGGCCTATGGTACAGCAGTCCAGTTTAAGGAACATCAATACTCTGTATATGTACACTGTACTGATTATATAACATATGAGTTTGACAGCATTTATGTATTTTTCACATCAGGGCCCAGTTGTAAAAAGCCTGGATGGCGCTATCCAGTGGATACATAAGTCGATGCTGTTATCCAATAAATTTATCCACTGGATAAATTTATCTGTCGGATAACGCTATCCAGGATTCATACGACTGGACCCAGGACATGCAGTAACGATAAACATGAAGCTACTGTACATGTATTCCTAGTTTATCTTTACCTTGACTGCCATGACTTGACCTGACTTCTTGTGTCTCATCTTAAACACCTGACCAGATGTGCCACACCCAATTTCTTCCTCTGTATCCAAGTCATCTAGTGAAAACTCGTATTTCTATATGTAAATAACCAAAAAGGTTTCAGTTACAGGTAACATTTATAGTTTATAACTGGAACTTTTATCTTTACACCTTTTGCCGTTCATTAACAGAAAATGTACATTCATTTGTGCCAATAGTTGTATCAATAACGTGTAATGTACTTTCATCAACATCACAAGTAACATCATTAGCGCGGATCAACTTTCAATAACGATAATTGAATATGCGTGTACATTCATAGGCATCAATGGACAATCAATAGCGCGTTTGTACATTCATATGCGCGGAATGTATTTTCTTGTGCGCGAAATTCAACTTCAATAACACCAAAAGACATACAATTGCATTTATGGACAATCATTTACCCAAAAGTGAAAATTCATTAGTGCTATTAGCATAATCATTGACAATGAATAACGCGCTAGGACAATCATGAGGGTCAACGTTATATTCTATAGCGTGGTTTGACAAACATTTGCACGATTCGAATGAACAATAAGAGAAATAAAACAATCATTAGCGATTTAAAAAAAAGAACTATTTTAGCCTTCAATTTCTTCGCCATTTATACATCGTGGCAAATACGTTTGCATATATCTGAACCACTGATTACATTTAG